TGGATGTCGATGTGGTGGTAACCAGATTTGAGGTCAATGGAGAACATCCAGTCCCCAACGCGCGCCAGGTCGGCGACGCGGCTGAGCCCCTCGTACTTGAACTTGGGGATGATCAAGTTGGCATTGACTTTCCTCAGATCAAGAATGAGCCTGCATTTGTCTTTTTGCTCGACCACGTTGAGTGGACTTATGCACGTAAGCTCCGTTGCGGCCATCGGAATTGCCGCTCCCGTCTCTATGAGTTCTTGGATGGCGGTACGTGTGAACGTGGCATGCGTGTTTGCCCCGACATGATTGCGATCGTGGAAATGTTGCGGTGGGCCGTGGCTCCATGGCAACCAGTAACCCTTGGCGATGACGGAGAGGACAAGGCTGCTGGGGCACCATGAGCTCCACCACGCAAATGTCGCGCGGAGACGACCGCGCATGTGTGTAATAGTTCTGTCTGTAACGGCAAATTCGTACGGATCGTCGTAGCATGCCGCCTCGCACCGTCGTGCTCCTGTACATGTGAGGCCAAGTGGTATAAGGGTTGAGTATTCCATGTTAAAGCATGCGTGTGCATGTACATGTACGGGCAACCATTGATCGAAGGTGTGACGAGAATTAACCATTGAATGAAATGTCAACGAATGTGTCGGGAGTGTTAACGCATGTCAACGCATGTCTCTTCTTCTCCTCGTTTCCTCTTTTTTTTTTTTTTTTTTTGTCCCGTCGTCCACTTGGTAGGACGGTTGTGCCTGCCCTTAGTGCGTGGGGGCTGATGCCTAGGGCCATGGACACCGTTGTCCATTGTGCTTTCTCTCATTCTCTCTCTCTCTCTCTCTCTCTCTCTCTCTCTCTCTCTCTCTCTCTCTCTCTCTCTCTCTCTCTCTCTCTCTCTCGCTCTCTCTCTCTCTCTCTCTCTCTCTCTCTCTCTCTCTCTCTCTCTCTCTCTCTCTCTCTCTCTCTTCCTCCTCTTGATTTTCATAGTCTCTTTGCCAAAACCATAGGCCTTTAGGAAGGTAGTTTTTATTAAATCAACCAACACACATAGCAATGCTTTCCTAGCATGCATCATGCCACCAAGTGGCCAAACATATGGGACCGAGGGGTTGTTGTTCCCCTTCCCTCTCCTAGGCCCAAAGCCTATCCCACCCTTTACTAGGGCTGGCCTCTTGCCATCGCAAACCCCTAGGGTTGCCCACGGTCTTCGCACTCAAGAGTGCACCGTGCCTAGCGCCCAAGCGCCTAGTCCCATGGCCCGCTCCTACACCACCGGAGCGGGTCCCTGGCCGCCATGCCCGTTCCGAGGGCAGGCACTTGCCACGTGGCCCGGCTGGCCGCAGCGGAAGCATGAGCCTCGGAACCCACGGCAATTGGCCGTGGGCGGGGGGCCTCGCTTGGGTAAGAACGGCATCGGCCCGTTGTTTCCGCCGCGGTTGACACGAGCGTATCCGCTTGCCGCACGGTCCATCGCCGCCATGTCCGCGACTGCCTGCTTGAAGGGTCGAGAAGTCAGCAGGCTCTTCTGCTGGTACAGCTTGAAGCGCTTCGCCGTGCGGAAGTCGGAGGCGTCCTCCACTTGAAGCACCTCGAAACGCCCCGCGATGAGGTTGAGAGCGTGTGAGATGAGTTCGAGTCCGCCCGCCGGATCGCCGCGCTGCGCCTTGTATTCGGCGTGCAGCAGGTACGCCCGCAGGTCCTCCAGCAGCTCCGCTTGCTCTCGCACGGAGTCGTTGACGAAGGTTGCCGCCGAGAAGGTAAGGTGTTCCGTGCCAATAAAATTAGCATTGTTGACGGGAGCCTCACCGGCTTCATCTTCAGAGTCGTCGGTGTCGTTGTCGACCGCTGGAGCAGGGGGAGCGGCGGTCGCTGCGTCGTTATCATGCCGGTTCGTCCGTGCTCCTCGCGTGCCTTTTTCCTTTTTTGCGGTTTCTTTTTTAGCCGACGCAGATGCGGCGGGTAGTGCAGTTTCCGCGGCTGTAACGCTGACGGGTTGCTGCTGTAGAAGGGACAGCAGCGCGTTGACCTGGTCCGGGGTCAACGCCTGCGTCAGCGCAGGGGCGGCGGTCGCGTCAGACGAGGAGACTGCAGTCCGCCTCCTCTGGCGCTGACGCGACGGTCCAGCAGCGGGTGCTGGCGTGTGCTCGGCGTCAGTCGCGTGTGCCGCGCCAGCCCCCGTCGCCACTTGCGCCACAGGTGCCACTGGCGCCACAGGCGCCACTGGCGCCACAGGGACCGAAGGGTGCTGCTGGGTTTCGGCGTTTTTGTTGACCTCGAGCCCGCCCAGCAGCACGTCCACTGCAGTCGGGGCGGACGGTCCGTCTTCTGCCCGACGCTTGTTACGGCGTTCGCCCGCAGAATCGCGGGCGTTACGGTCGGAGTCGGAAGCGGGGGTTGACGAGTTCCCGTTGTTAAGTGTCGGCGTAGGTGCCATCGTTGAGCGATTGAAGTTGAAAATGTCGCTGAGTAAAGTAGAGGGTGACTCGCCTCTAGGAAGCGATTTAATCCTAGCCAGCTTGGAGGGAAAAACTACTCGAGCGGAAATGTTGAGTGAGCCGTTTGAAAATTGAGAAACGTGGGTGGAGGGAAATGAGCTCCAACCCACGGTTTTTGTAGTTGGAGAAGGGCGTTTAGCGCGCTTCGACGATGCCAATTGTGCAGTACAAGCAGCTTCGCTTTCACAATACACAATTTTAAAAAACACTACATGTGTGTTTAAAAATTATAATGTTGTTAGTGAAGCCTCAGCAAAAAGAGAGCTTCTTGTAGAGCTTATCCTTAGAGAATCACAATTCTAGTTGTGTAGGAGAGTTTGTTAGGAGAATCCAGAAACTTAGAGAAATCCCATTTCCAAGTTGGTAAGTTGGAGTTGGGAAGTGGGAATGAGCTTGAAAGCTCCAACCCCTTCCACAATACCCCTTGGGGCTCTTCCCAACCATGGCTTCCATGGTTGGGGAGCTTCTAGGCTTGGAGCCTAGGTGGCATTATAGTTTGTTTGGTTGGGAAAACCCAACTTAATTGTGTTGTATGGTTGTTTTGTTGTTTGGTTGGATTGTAACAACAACTGGCACAATTTGATTGGTTGGAAATCCAACCTTCCCAATCTTCACTTTGATGGGTTGGAAGTTTCCAAGCCTCAAGGTTGAGGTTTGGAACAACCCAACCAACCTTCCCCTCCAACTCAACCTTCCCAATTCCCATCGAGTCATTTCTCATCGAGGAACTCTCTCGATGTTGACTTAGGAAGCTAGCGGTAGATTAGGCAGAGTAGGTCATGCGTTACATCCGTTCCCCCCAAGGTCGCACCTCCGTTTTCCCCCAGGTCGCACCTCCGTTTCCCCCAGGTCGCACATCCGTTTCCCCCCAGGTCGCACCTCCGTTTCCCCCCAGGTCGCACCTCCGTTTCCCCCCAGGTCGCACCTCCGGTTCCCCCCAGGTCGCACCTCCTCCTCCAATCTCCTCCCGTCCCTCACTCCCATCTTCCCATCCCCCCCAAACCCTCTCTCAGCTTATTCTATCTCCTCCCTTCCCTCTCTCCCTTCTTTCCCTCATGTCTCCCCTGCCTTCCCCCCATTTCCCCCCTCCATGCCCTCATTCCTATCCCTCCTTCCCCGCATTTCACTTTTATCTTCCCCATTTCCCCACTACTTTCTCTTGGTTTCCCCCCTCCCCCTTTTTGCCACCCGCGTCTGCAGCCTCGTGATTGCCACGGAACCGCCAGCTGCACGTTTGATGAGGTGCGCTAAATGCGCCCATTCACGTGCCAGCGCCTTTCCTCATCCCTCCGAACCTCTTCCTCTCTGCCCTCCAGTAGTGGTGAGTGCATGCGTGGTAAGTGAGGTGGCAGTAGTCCCGTGGCAGCAGCGTGGGTGCGAGGGGCAGAGGCGTGGCGAGTGTGGGTTTAAGGAGGGATGTGATTTTCGTACTCAACTGCGCTCACACGAACCTGCACTTTTCTCCTCATCCCTCCAATTCCCTTCTCCGCTGCCCATTTCTAGCACACCTGACTGACTTGCACACCTCCCTCATGCTCCGTCATCCTCTCTCCCCCCTGTCCTCCTCCCCACCCCTGTCATCCTCTCTCCCCCCTGTCCTCCTCCCCGCCCCTGTCATCCTCTCTCCCCCCTGTCCTCCTCCCCACCCCTGTCATCCTCTCTCCCCCCTGTCCCCCTCCCCACCCCTGTCATCCTCTCTCCCCCCTGTCCTCCTCCCCACCCTTGTTATCCTCTCTCCCCCCTGTCCTCCTCCCCGCCCCTGTCATCCTCTCTCCCCCCTGTCCTCCTCCCCACCCCTGTCATCCTCTCTCCCCCCTGTCCTCCTCCCCACCCCTGTCATCCTCTCTCCCCCCAGTCCTCCTCCGTCCCCTCTGTCCTCTCTCCCCCTGTCCACTTCCTTCTCCCCTGCCATCCTCTTCCCCTCACTTTATTGGCTACTCCTTCCCCCCCCTTCATACCCGTTTCCACCATCGTTTCCCACTTCTTTCCCTCTCCTTCCCACTCCTTCACTCTCCTTCCCATTCCTTTCCCGCTGCTTTCCTTATGCCCTGCCATTGCTCCCCCACTCTCCTCTTTTCCCCTCGTGCTTGGCTGAGTGTGCCGTGCAGGCTGCAGCAGGGCAGCGGGCGCCATGGAGGGGAGGACATGGGCTAAGCCACTCTCCATTCGCCCTGCCACCTCATGCACCACTCATCCATCCCTCCTTCCCTCCTGCTTGGGTTTCCGACTTGCTACTGCAGCTGGGGTGACTGCAGCAGCATGAGCACTACATGGGCTCTCACCACTCAGCAGGAGCTCATTAGCCTATGTGTGAGCGGAGGCGACCAACGTAGTGGACAAAGGCTGTCTTGTAACTCAAGTTTTTGTACACATAATACGTACGGTAAATGTTCTCCTCACCCACCAGTGTTGCAAAAGAGGGACCATTACAAATACCCACACATGACCAATGCTATCATTATTGATCATGTAGAACCTCAAACTGATTAGGGTATTTTGTAAATAACAAGCAATGCGATGTTATGATGCAGCAAGGGCCCACATCACACTTATCCTAAATCTAACTAGTCTGCTTGGTTGCTTCATGCCTGAAGAGCTGCACCACGGAAGAGAGAGCAGGGAGGGAAGAGAGAGCAGGGAGGGAAGAGAGAGCAGGGAGGGAAAAGAGAGCAGGGAGGGAAGAGAGAGCAGGGAGGGAGACAAAGGGTAAGCAGGGGGAAATAAGGGGTAATCAGGGGAAACAAGGGGTAAACAAGGGAGAAACAAGGGGTAAGCAGGTGGAAAAGAAGAAGTGAGCAGGGAATGTGGAAAACCAGTGCAAGGGGAAGCAGGGAAGCAGCGCGAGGGGAAGCAGGGATGCAGCGCGAGGGGAAGCGGGGAAGGAGCGCGAGGGGAAGTGGGGGTGCTGCGCGAGGAGAAGCGGGGAAGGAGTGCGAGGGGAGGCGAGGATGCAGCACGAGGGGAAGAAGGGAAGCAGCGTGAGGGGAAGCAGGGAAGCAGCGCGAGGGGAAGCGGGGATGCAGCGCGACGGGAAGCGGGGATGCAGCGCGAGGAGAAGCAGGGAAGCAGCGCGACGGGAAGCGGGAATGCAGCGAGAGGGGAAGCAGTGAAGCAGCGCGAGGGGAAGCGGGGATGCAGCGCGAGGGGAAGCAGGGGTGCAGCGCGAGGGGAAGCAGGGATGCAGTGCGACGGGAAGCAGGGAAGCAGCGCGAGGGGAAGCGGGGAAGCAGCGACGAGAAGCAGGGAAGCAGCGCGAGGGGAAGCGGGGATGCAGCGCGAGGGGAAGCGGGGATGCAGCGCGACGGGAAGCATGGAAGTAGCGCGAGGGAAAGCGGGGAAGCAGCGACGAGAAGCAGGGATGCAGCGCAAGGGGAAGAGGGGATGCAGCGCGAGGGGTGGGAGAGTAGAACGAGGGAAGGGAATTGGGTGGGAACGAAGGATGTAACGTAGTCGCTAAAGTCAATACGTGAACGATAGTAGTGCGAGTAAAAAAACGAGAGCGCGCCACTTGGGTGTTTTCACTAGGCTGCGGTTCGCGGAAAGCGAGATAACCATGCGGTAAGCTGTAAGCGGCCTGCGGAAAGCGGGAGAAATGCGCGATGAACTGAAAGCGGCGAGCGGAAAGCGGGATATTCCATCTTGAACCTAAAAGCGGGGACCTGAGCTGAAAGCGCCAACCCTAAGCGCGGCAGCACGCGGCGACGCTGACAGTGTCTTTAGAACGCAGTGGCAGGGCTTCGAGTCGCTGGTTTTTATTGGAGACTATGAGCTATGAATTCTTGTCACTTTGTGTTGGAGAAGTGGGCTGTCGAGTGAAGTCGGGCTCTCATCATCGCTTGAGTTTTGGTATACAAACTCAAACACGGTGGGTCAAGTTCTAACCTGAACCCCCAGGCCTCCCCCCTCCTCCCGCCTCGATTGTTCGTTTCTCCGCAGTGGCTTCTTGCAGGAACAAAGTTACCGTGTTTTCAAGTGATAAACTTTCCCTCCCCGCTCCAAGTATGTAGACCGCAGCTTTAATCTGATTACATCTACATATACCGTAGGTCTCCAAACCATAACACGGGGATCTTGGAGTATTTCACTCACAAAATAAGGAAAGAATAAACATCAAACCCTATACCCTAATTGAATTTCTATTGCTGTTTGTTCCATACGTGCGTTGCCCTGTTGTTGCTGCACAGCACGATCACTTGCTATTCCCATCGCCATCCTTGTCCTACCTCCCACTAATGCCGCCCTGCAAAACCCCAGCAACCTTTCCAGGCTGCTCGATTTACAGGCTGCAAATTGCAATAGCCACCTGTCATTCCCCTCCTCCACCCCCCTCCTCCACCTGCTGCGTCCTATCTCATTTGCCACTCCCACCACCATCCTTCTCCTGCTTCCCGCTCACGCTCGACTCCTCCCATCCATACCTGAGCAGCCTTTCCAGTGCTGTTTGATCCTTAGTCTGTAACAACCACCTCTCAGCCTACTCCATACTCCTTCACCTGCTAATCCTATCACTTGCCAGTCCCGTCGCCATCCTTGTCCTGCTTCCTACTCACACCCATCTCCTCTGCTTCAACTGTTTTGAGACGTCTCAAAGGGGAATGAAGCACGGGAAGGTTAAGCAGCGCATGATGTGGGCTATACATAGTTTTTCTGGCATGTGTGAGTGTTATGAGGCAACCCTGCAATCTGGCACCCACCAACATTACCACCATCCCACCCCTCACACCACACCAATCCACCACCCCACACCCCACACCAATTCACCACCCAATCAGCCTCACATGCCCCACCACCAGATGCAAGCGGCAGGTGTAAGCAGCTGCTTCTTACTGACCAACACATGCCATCGCATCAACCCTCACCGTATCGCATCCCACCACCCCTCACCGCATGCCATCCCACCTGCTCCTCACCATGCCATAGAGCAGCGGCTTCAGCTGCTGCATCTCCCCCACCACTCGTCTCACACTCTCAACTCAATAGAATTCACCTTTCCTTATTCCACCACTCTCACAATACCTATCACTCGCCTCGCATGCTCAATATCATCTAGTCCTCCTACCATACACCACCATACACCACACATGCTAAATCTGATCCAGTCCTCCTTACCCCCACCATACATACACCATCCCACCACCGCCCCTCACATGCCATCGAGCTGCTGCTTCAGCTGCTGCATCCCCCCCCCCCCCCCCCCCCCCCCCCCCCCCCCCCCCCGCTTCACATGCTCAATAAAATATAGTCCCCCTTACCACACCATACAACCCCCACTCACCCCTCGCAATGCCATCGGGTTGCTGTTTCAGCTGCTCCATCCCCCCACCATTCGATCAGCCTCACATTCTGAAGAGAAGTCAGTTCCTACCGTTTTCTACCACCCTCAGTCCCACTTATCACCCACCACCACTCCTCACCATGCCATCGAGCTGCTGCATTTCTCCCACCATCCATCTCACATGCTCGCTCAGTACGATTTACTGCCCACCGTATTCCACCGCCCTTACAACATACCACCACCGCTCACCATGCCATTGAGCTGCTGCTGCTTCAGCTGCTGCATCTCCCCCACCACTTGCCTGAAATTCTCACTCGAATACACCTTCACCGTATTCCATCACTCCCTCATACCCCACACCTCACCATGCCTCCACTACCGCTCAACTGCTACTTCAGCTGCTGAATCTCCCCCACGACCCGCCTCACATGCTCAATATGATTTAGTCCTCCTTACCCCCACCGTACACCATCCAACTTCCCTTTAACTTCCCCTCACCATGCCATCGAGCTGCTGCTTCAGCTGTTCCATCTCCCCCACCACCCGCCTCACATGCTCCAATGCTGTCTCCTCCACCACCTGCTGCTGTGCCACTCTCAACGCCCTCAGCTGCATGGGGATAAGAGGACAAAGAGAGATGGGTGCGAAAATAGTCAGCAACCAAACAACCCCCTAACCCCCTTGCACCACCTGCTGCTGTGCCACGCGCAGAGCTCTCAGCTGGATGGAGAAGTGGGGAAAGTGGAGGGAGAGGAGCAAGAAGAGTGAGAACAGAAAGGCATCACAACGCTAGTGAGAGACCGTCTCCTCCTCTACTTGCTGCTGTACCACCTGCAGGGCTCAAATGGATGGTGAAGGGAGGAACAGAGTTGGGAAAACAGAGAGAGGAGGGAAGAGAGATGCGTGCAGACAGAGGCAGCAAGTAAAGATTGCTCCTACAGCACCTACTGCTGCAACACTCGCAGGACCCCCTCAGCTGAGTGCGGAAAGGAGGTATGTACCAAGGAGGTGTAACAGAGTTGGGAAAACAGAGAGAGGAGGGAAGAGAGATGCGTGCAGACAGAGGCAGCAAGTAAAGATTGCTCCTACACCACCTACTGCTGCAACACTCGCAGGACCCCCTCAGCTGAGTGCGGAAAGGAGGTATGTACCAAGGAGGTGTAACAGAGTTGGGAAAACAGAGAGAGGAGGGAAGAGAGATGCGTGCAGACAGAGGCAGCAAGTAAAGATTGCTCCTACACCACCTACTGCTGCAACACTCGCAGGACCCCCTCAGCTGAGTGCGGAAAGGAGGTATGTACCAAGGAGGTGTAACAGAGTTGGGAAAAGAGGGAGAGGAGATGCGTGTAAGCAAAATAGAGTCCGCACCTATGGAGCACCTGCTGTTGTGCCACTCGCAGGGCCCTCAGATAAAGGCGGAAAGGAGGCATATGCCAAGGGGATACAGAGTTGGGAAAATAGGGAGAGATGGAGGAGAGCTGAGAGTCAACAGCCATCCACCATCTGCTGCTGTGCCTCCTTCAGGGCCCTCCGCAGAGTGGGGCAGGGCGGAAACGAGTTGGGAGATGTGGGAAGATATGATTGCAGGGAGGGATAATGCGCAACCATACGCTCCTCCTCCACTTGCTGAGGCAGCATACACACGGCCCTCAGTTGAGTGGGGAAGGGCCAATCAGGCAGGCATAGGCACCAGTTCCGAGTCCTGCCAGCTCGTGAAGAACACCCACGCGTCACGCACCACCAGCCCTTACCGCATTTTACCGAATCTGATTCCTTTCGTGTGGGTATCTCCACTCCAGCACATTGCTTTTGATCATCCTCACCTTAGTTGCTTCAAACGTTTCGTATGCCGCACCAGTTCCGAGTCCTGCCGGCCCATGAAGAACACACTCACATGCATCCTGCACCATGCGCAAACCAGTCCTCTTCTTGCCATTGTGCTACTGAATCAGATGCTCTCATGTGCGCATGCCCGTGTATCAACGTCTCACCTTAGCCGCTTCGAATTGCAGCCTCTTGGTCTGCCGCACCAGGTTAAAGTCCTGCGCCACACAACCAGTCCTCGCCACTTCTTACCAATTTTTATCTACAAGTCTCACCTTAGCGGCTTCAAATTGCAGCCTGGTCTGCCGCAACAGCTCAGAGTCCTGCTAGCCCGTGAACAACACCCACGCGTCCCGTGCCACACAACCAGTCCTCACCGCTTCTTACCGATTTTTATCTACAATCCTCACCTTAGCGGCTTCGAACTGCAGCCGCTTTGTCTACCGTACCAGCTTAGAGTCCTGCTTGCCCGTGAAGAACACCCACGCGCCCATCCCACACAGCCATTCCTCACCGCTTCACACTGAACCTGATTCCTCTCGTGTGGGTATTCAACCCACTGCTTTTGAGAAGTCTCACCTTAGCGGCTTCGAATTGCAATCGTTTCATCTGCCGCACCAGCTCCGAGTCTTGCCGGCCCGTAAAGAACACCCGCACATCTCACACCATGCGTAGAGCGCGAATCATTTTCGCTGAATGGGCTTTATCATGCAGGGATGGATGGGATGTGAATGCACATTCGACTGAGTCTATTTTAGGGCCCCTCACAATGCGTCGCGCACCATGAGCAGCACGCGAATCATCTTCGCTGAATGGGCTTTATCATGCAGGGATGGGAGGGGATGGACTTTATCACGCTGAAAGAAGATGACGGCAAAGGGGAAAACGAGAGAACAGGTAAGAGTCGACTTATGAGGCGCCTCAAGAGACGGATGGGAGCCAAGGAGGGAGTTGACGAACGACAGGGGTGGGAGTACGTAGATGAACAGCGAATGTTAAAGAAATTCGCGAAAGCGAGATCGGGTGGGCGAGACGGGGCGTGCTGTGCGAAACTGTGGCGAATGAGCGCGAGCCGGAGTGAGCGTGATGAGAGTATTGTGTGGAGGGATTCAGGTGCGTGGAGGGCGGGTGATGTGAGGAGTTAGGCGTGAGGAGCGGCGGGTGATACGGGAGCCATGTTCCGCTGAAAGAGAATACATCCCCAAAATGTTTC